TTATGTAAAGGTTATTGCGAGATTTACGGTGTCGGTTAATAAAAGATTATAGAGTAAGAAAGCATGGATTGCGATAATTATTTAATATATGATACATACAAGTGACTAAGCCTGGCCATTTCTGGTGTCTGGATCAGCCAATTTGTAAGATGAACCTTCCATTTAATGACTTCATTCCCGACGTCTCGCAGATGCATCTCTAATCAGCAATTGTTGCTAAGAATCTCCGTACATGACACAACCAATTAATTTCCAGATGCCTTATGCAAGCCCACTGAGCTCGTGGGTTTTCTTGAGAGCAATGCATGTAGGAAATCAAGTCAACTGTGAATCCAGATTTTTTTGTTTCTGCACAACCAATCTTCCGCTCTAATAGAGACTTGAAAATCATAGCCAGGCACCCCCACAAAGACACACTCGACACACACTCGCCCAGTCATTCACTCACTCGCTCAGTGAGTCAGTCAGTCAAGCAGCAGGCATCAGGCGGGGAAATGGATTTACCATGCCAAGAGTTGCAACTTAACATGGCTGCACATTTTGCCAACGGGATGCATGCAACATCGGCAACGGGCACCAGACAACATCGCCGTCGTGCATGCAACACTTACTAGCAACAAAATTAAAGGCAAATCGCAACCAATCACAAAGATTACCCCCACACACCAGCCCAAACAAACAAAATGGTGCGGGACTAGGTACCAAAGACCGCGGCCGGGTCCGGGCCGAAAGACGTGGCCCCAAAGGCGCCGTTGCATTGGTATTTTAAACACTGCCAGGGCGCATAATCAAAACGCTTAAATTATAATAACTTTATTAAGTCGGCGATCCACCCGCGCCCTTTTTTGTTTTGTCTGTAATGCCTAGATCCGCCAAACAGGTGTAGTGCGGAAAGAAAGCAAAAACAAATGGCAAAAAGCTTTGGAAACCCAAAGGAAATACGAATTCAAGTTACGCTACAATCACATTAACTTCAATTTAAAACCCAACAATAAATTTGGCTTAAACTTTACCTACCTTATTTTTAAAGAACATGAAGCTATCTTGTTTTAATTTTAAATCAATTAATACTCTGATGAACATGTACCCACTGAAAGTGTATTATGGACCTCTAGCGATTGTCTGTTGGCCGCTTTTATTATTTCTCTCGAGTGGATTTTACTTTGTACACACTCGAAGCATTGTTGGCTGGCTGGTAGGTTGGTTGGTTGCTGCCTGCTGTTTATGATTGTTTTTTCATTTTCTCAAGTGATGAGTAGGATATCTGTCGGCTCTGGCAACAAAAACAATAACAGCAACCGACCCAACAACTACATTCAGCAACAAGCTATTTGCGACTCACGACTTTTCATGCAATTTTGAATTTAAAATTCTTCACACACTCTTTTCATTATGTGGCTTCATTCCAGCTCCTCTAGATGGCTTCCCCCCCATTGAAGCCCCCTTTGGAAATCCCCTTGTAGGGTAAAATCAACGGCCCGCCATCGAAGTCGAAGGCAGCGCAAAATAAGATGCTACTCTTGTGGCCATCTTTGAAGTGGTTGTTGTAATAGGTGTAAGTCCGCGAGTGTGTGAGTGAGTAATTATATGTGTGGGTAAGGTGTGTATGTGTGTAGAATCATCGGAGGAAGAAGCTCCACCATCACGCTCCATTCAAGTTTGGATAGTTGGTCTGGAAATTTGTACAGTGGTGGTATAAGGTTTTCGAATATATTTCTTAAAGTATAAAGGTTTCTTTACCTTATAAAAATATGTGAATAATTTAAAAATAATCCGTTGTACTAATAACTAGGTTTTCTTAACTTAAAATGTATCAAAAAACCTTATCTTTCTTATAAATAATATCCCATTAAAATCGCGTTTATTAAGTCCTTTGTCTTAACCTTTTATTCGCACTTCCCATTCAAATACGTACCACTGTCGTCTCTAACCTGGCTTAGTGTCCGTTGTCGATGACGATGACTGGCCACTAGCCCGGCTCAGTGATTCTGGCCATGGCTTTGCAGCGGCTCTTCGTGGCTCAGCTGCTGCCGCTGCCTCGATGATGATGACTTGGAGCCCCGATTCGAGGGAACCGACGAGCGGACTGCCGCCACTTGGTGGTCCAATTCAACGAATTGACTATAATCAGTCTAGTGCCAAGTACGTTTCAAGTGTCTACTCATGCACTTCTGTGTAGCGTGTGGTGGGCACTGCCAACAGCCAAGCCTGGGCCGGCCAAGCCAAGCCAAGAGTTTTGGGCCAAGAGAGCTGCAAGCCAAAAGTCGGGAATTGAGATCTGAGGGCCGAAAGCAGTGGTGCAGGCGCGGACGCCGGCCGGTAGAGTTTTATGGTGGCTCTTGGCTCTGGTGGGTCGGCGAGTTCCAAGTGGTTTGCTCTCGTATGCAAATGGGAGTTCCGCTGCCACTTCGACTCCCCCGGCACCCAACCTCTTCCCGCTCCTGGCCACTTGAAGCGGCTCTCATGAGTGCTGCGGCGCACAAAATTAATTTATTACAATGCAACAAATTACAACACTCATTAATATTTTAGCCAAGTTCTGGGGATGCACTGCGAAAATTGTTAACTTGTTGCTAAAAAATCCAATTACTTTCATAGAATTTGAAGCACACTTTTTCTCAGTGAGCTGCGTAGTTGGCCAAGAGCTGTAACATGTGACTGGCCTGGAATTTTATTCGCCGACAGGTCCAGGGAAGCTTGTAACCTGCATGTTGACTGGTTCTGAAAAATAAAGGAAAAAACGTATCCGCACTGGCGAGAGGGGAGAAGGGCGTGGCCCGGCGTCTCATACCTAATAAATCTGTAATTTGTAATTAATGTGAAAAATTGCCGCCCGAGACGGAGAACAAGCCTAAATTGTTATTATATGGCCACAGTCCAAGTTCCAGTTTCAGACTCCAGACTGCAGACCTCGACTCCGTGGAGTGTGGGTCAGCCAGAGTCATAACTCTTCCACGAGTTCGCCAGTTCGTGTCTGAGGTTGTGTGTATAGTGGTGTGTCTCTTTCATAAATATAAATTAAGCCACTTGACTAACGCACAAAGCGTGTGCCGGGCAGAAAAAGTGAAAACTTGGTCAAGCGATTACTCTGCCAAAGAAACACAACCAGAAAAATACTTTTATTGCATTCACCGGCCCAGGTCATTCTTAGATGGCCCCGTGGCTCCATTGTCTGCCGAAAGCAACTCATGCGGTGTGATTAATATGGAAGATGGCCAAAATAAAGAAGCCCCAAACACACTCAGATAAAAATAAATTTCTGAAGTGGTTATTTATAAACAGAGAAACAACTCAATCCAGGGAAAGGAAACCCACCGAGCACCCGCCTTTCCGTTAAGCATAAACCCAAGATTTTGATTATCTAAATGAAAATATCACTTGAGGATTTATAGTTCCTTTACTTAGGCTTCAAAAGACTTTAAAAGTACACAGTTCGTTGGCTTCCGAGAACTCCTCTCGAGAAATTCTTAAAAAACCGATCACTTTAATGTTTCTAATTTGGGGGCTAGACGGTTGATAGACAACAACAATATCTGGAACACAACTCTTCCATTAGGCGAAGTATAAAGGCAAAAAGCGCTCTAAGGTCGCCTGACAGCGGCTCGGGCGTAAAAATGTCTGCATGATTGATAATATTCGAAAGTTGCAAGCAGGGCGTCCCGACCGCAATGGGAACCAGGAAAATATAGAAATATATAGCCATATTCGCAACACATATCCCCTGCCAGTCGCCCCGCCGATTGGTTATGGCCCGAGCAGCGGGGGCAGTTCAATTGCTACCCGGTCAGTCACCGAACGAAAACAATTTTTGTTTTCGGTTATTCGGATTTTTTATGTTTTGGCCAAAAGGTAACGCAGCTGAGTGAGTGATTCAATGGAGCAAAACGTGAGCTAAAGACGTGATACCACAACAGCGATCGGGCCAGCAACAAAAGGCCCCGTTTATACGCCTGATGAGCGAAACTGGGGGGCGGCCGATTGGTGGCCCGATCGGGTCGGGTCGGCCTTTTGAAACGATATACAAAAATTTTTGTTATTCACTTGTGATATTTTATTTTTTCCCAACGAATCAATCACAATGATTATGATAAATGATTTCGGCATTTTTATTTATTCACTATTTTCTTTCAAAGTTTCATTGTCTGAGCGGTATTTATAGCTCTCAGACTTTTTGCATTATTACGCCGGATAATGGTCGATCAGTGGGCCGAGCTTGTAATTGCCGGCTTATAAATCACAGTGAAAAGATATAATTTCGTTTCCGATGATCTGTGGCCCGTTGGCCGTTGTCCGAGTCTCTGATTAGCACATTTGTCTGGAGTTTCACTTTTAAAGCTCGTCCACCGCTGACCCATTGAACTACAATCACTTCAGGGTTTCCGCTGTATTCTGTATAGTCGCCCCCTTAATGCTGATTTATTTCTGGCATATGTTTTTTATCGCAGTTTTTAAATCTTGTTAGGAAACTTCATTAGTGTCAACTGGCATTTTCTTGGGCTGATTAATGTGTGTCAGAAGCGGCTGGGGAGGGAAACTTTTCGGTAGCCGAGGCGAAAAACCTGTCTCCCACCCGTGGAAAATCCACCGCCACGCCTCTTTTGTGTTGGTCAAGCGGCATTAAGTCTTTATTGCCGAGTTATTAATTGGGGTGGACGTGGGGGGTGTGCATACTGATAAGGTGGGTGAGTCTCTTGTTAAATAACAAGGATATTCATGCCCCTCCAGCGTACCGGTAACGAGTTACTTTCCAAATAACAGAGGTTTACGGAAGAGTAAACAATTTACTTATTTTGCAAAATAATCTAATATTTAATTGAAATCATTAAACTATTTTTCAAGTGTAGGCCATACACTTCATACGCCAACTGGTTCAAGCCAACTCACCTGCCTGGGTGACCAAATTTGACAACATTTGCCAATATTTATGAATTATTAATTATTTATGTGACCATTTTCGTGTAGCAACCAGCTAACGTGTTTGACGACTCCTCCATTTGCAGATCCTGCTCCCGATCCATGAGGCCGGAGCCCACCGACTGAGGTCCGCCCGCAGGTTGAAAATGGCGGACGTTTACCGGGATGCCAGCAGCACGCTGCGCTCCGTGTTCCCCAACTCGCGGTTGGGATCGCTGGCCGGAATGGAGAGTCAGCTGCAGGGTCCGCTGGATGCGGACTCTGATCCGGATGCGGGAGCAGCCACCACGGTGGGAAGTAGGGCTAGCGACTATGACCCGTATGACGAGGACTGGTGGGCCAATGCCATCGAAGTGGACACCTTCGATTCCCCGCTGGCCTTCGACGCCAGCGAGAACGGACTGTGGAACGGACACTTTGTGCCGCCGCCGCCCCGCCCGCCCTTCCTGGATGAAAGCGTCGCCGCCGACGGCCTGACCACCTGCGATCTGTGCACGTGGGCCTGGCAGCGGAATGCATACTCCCTGGACGGTTCCATAGGTGAGTACTTAGCCCTTATCCCTTCACTAGCAATATTTTCAGTCCTACCTACTCCTGCCCTACCCCTGCCCCTGGTCCTGTTCCTGTCGTTTTTCAATTAAAACTCTCCGGCAAGACAATAATCTGGCCGCCGCGGCGCGCCGTGCATCGATCGCTGATATCAATTTATCAAACTGATGTTGGGCGTGCGTGGCTCGATTGCTTTTCGGCAAGCACTGCGAGGGACTCCTCCTTCGCCGCCTTTTGCACAGAAAGAAATAGTGTACTATTACGTAGAGGGATTTATAATATTAGACAAAATAGAGGAGCCACAAAACCATTTATAAAAGCAATTAATAGAATGGTTTTACAAACCTCTTCCGAATATAGTTAATTTGTTAATAGAAGTTAAAATTTTTTTAAATAATTCCTATTTATTTCTATTTAATATTTTAAAGTAATATCTAAAGGGCTTACAACTTCTTGCCGTGCACTTGCGTTTGCAAATTTAATTTGTGCACATAACTCTTTGTGGCAGCTCTTGGCTTAGGCGTTGTTCCGCCAAAGTTCGGAGCCGGCGATCCAGGGATCCTCCGGGGCACTATCGCCCGGGCACATCGCCAGTCATTTGTCTCTGCGCTTGTAAAGGAATCAGTCAGGAGTAGGGAGGAGGAAAAGGCGGCGACTTAGATGGGGAAAAACTTATGAAAATATGAAGCACTGGGCGTGGGCAGCCCAAGATGAGATAGATAGGACAGAGCCAGTGCGGCCTTTAATTTGGCCAAGAACAAATGAAGCCTGGTCAAGAGCTCACAGCCGATAGGGAAACGGAAAGCGGAAATTCGGGGAAATGCAAGATGAAGCTCGAATTAAACTCATGCAATTTACATTAAAATCCAACTTAGCCGGCTTAAATGCAAATTTCGCCCTCGACGACCAACAAAATAAAGCAGAACCTGTTAGAACTCACCCCATAACCCAAATAACTCTCGTAATAACACAAAGCGAATGCTAAATGACCGCTGTCCATACATATATGGTCGGCACTGTGGACTGGGATATGGCATGGCATTTAGCCGTTTGCTGTTTGCCGTATTTGATTTCCAGGAATCGCTTTCAGGGCAAATTGAAGTCATTATACATAGTAAACTTCGGCTCAAACGCCGCACTCCGCACTCTGGCCAGAGCTGAGACTGCGATGGGTGCCTGGCGTTATTAGGCTAATTATAGAGCAGGAATGGAGTGGAACTTTCAGCATTTTTCAACGGGGTCTCCTATGCATGCACATACGTATATACAAATATTTATATATATAAATGACTTTATTCATGCCGACTGGGCGACTGTTTGTCGCGCCAAATGTCTGGGATTTCCTGTGGCCAGTTTTTGGTTCCAACGACGTGTCAACTAATTTGCAACACTCACCTGGACAAGGGGCAGCACTTCTATGGAAGTACCTGCGGCAGCCTTTGGCGAATATTTTCCACCGTTTTGTATTTTTTGCAAAGGGATTAGGCCACTCAGCAGCTTGCTCCGAGAAAAATGCCAAGTCGAGAAGAGCGGCAAAAAATGGTTTTGACTAATGTCTTAATTTTGTGCTTAGGTGTTTGCAGCGGTTGGTTTCGGGCTTTTGTTTTCGGTCATAGGGATACAGACCGGGAACTACACTAGGAAGGGTATACTAGATCCATGGAAGTCATAAAATAAAAAAATACAATTTAAAACATAATTAAAATAATTTAATTGCTTATTAATTGCAGAGTAAATTATCATAATTTGGAAAATTTTTGTAACAAATGCTTTATAAAAAGTGTATTATTTCCAACATAGCACATCTAATATTTCCTCCCTATACAAATCCCTACTCCAAGCTGGAAAAAATAGGGAAAAAATCGTGCCTGGACTGCAGCGAATGCCATTCACTCCGCTTCATCTGGCCGAGTCTCCAAATTGAGTTTTTGCATGTCGTGCCCATGTCTGGGACTTGCTTTGTTTCTGCGGCTGTTTCGGTTCGGTTCTCTGCCGCAAAATTGACAGCTGAATAAAATGTTATTATATTTACACCATAATTTGCATGGCAATTAATCAAATGGCATGCAGAATTCGACAAAGGTAAAGGCAATCCCAGGCGACACATTTCGTTGGGTGCCGAGCATTTCTGGGAATTATTCTAACAAAGTTGCCAAGCGAAAACAAAAAACAAACGAAAAAGTTTCGACCCGCCTAAATGTCTTTATTAGGACTCTATATGCAAAGCGAAAAACAAGCAAAAGTTGAGCTCGTTAAGTTGGGGAGAAAAATATGATGGTAGGAGTTCCCACACAAATGGAAGCCAGACACTCATTAATTTTAGTTGAAATATTGGAGGGAACCAGCATAAGGATTAATACGAAAAAAATACAATTTGAATACATGTTGTTATTAAAGTATGTAGATTTTAAAAAAAATTGGCTTACAATCACCAGGAAACCGTTTACGATTCAAAGCTTATTTTTTCAGGAAATAGAAGCCCAACCCTACTGCAAATCGTTTTAATAAAAGGAAATCCTCATTTTTATGGCTCTTCCACCGTTTAGCCATTCTAGTCTCACATGTTTTTTTCTTTATGGCAGATTAAGTTAACCGCTTGATTATTTCAACAGCATATTTTGTATAATTTATGCCCCACTTTATGCCTCCCGTCGCACCCATAACAACCATTACAAAAAATAACCAAACGCATAAAGGGTAACAATTCTATATTCTGCAAATATTTACAACAATTTGTGGCACAATAATAAAAATGAAAGGTCTCGGACCAGAAGCCAAAGCCAAACGAAACCAAACCAAGGCAAAGACCCAAAAAAGGACTCGTATTTGACTTTGTGCGGCTGTTGAATAAATGTTTTATTGCAATAACAACAATATCAGAAACAATATCAGGGGAACAATGAGGTCCGTCCGTCCACCAACAACAATAAAAACAGCAGCTGTTGAAGTCGACGGCTCCTTCCGCCTATTTTGATATTTTTATTGTGGTGGTGAAATAAATTCAAATAAATAAATTTAAGTTGCTGATTTTGGCCGCATAAAGCATTACATGGCAACAACAGCAGCAACAACAATAATAAACAAAAGTTCTTGCGTCCTTTTCTGGTCTAATAGAGCCTTTGTGTCCTGGTTACACCATAAATATTGAAGGACCACGGACGAAAACATTTATTGGCAGATTTATGCTAGCTCAACGCAATTCGAAAAGTTATTTCCCTACAATAACAGGATTAGTGGCAACACATGATGCGAGAAAATTGTTCAAGTGGGAGTGTAAGCAGCTTATTTTTTTAGAACTAGCCATATTTTTATAGATTCAAGTGTCGTTCCATAAAAAGGTGACTTTAAGCAGAAATGCCTGAAGCTTTGATCGCCTTATTTTTTTTTTGCTGGAGTAATATTAAAAAAATAGTTTTTGTTAAAATTTAAAGAACCAATATAAAGTCGGGATAATTATGACCTTTAATCTCCATCTTAAATTTTTTCTTTTTTTCAACACTATTTTGTAGAATTTAAACAATAAGCCTTTGAGGTAATCATTTTTCACTTTTTTATCCACTGTCAATTTTTAATCACCGCCAAGCTGTTGATCAAATACATGACTAATCTAAGGATGATCAAATTTATGCAAAAACGCATGTGACGGATTCCTATTTTATATCATTGGTATCTTATATTTTTACCTTTTAACAACACTGTCTTAAAAGATGGAAACAATGCGCCTTTTGAGCACTAAGCTTTAATCATTTTCCGCATCGTTTGTGTCCACTGACCATAGGTCGTCGCTGGTTAACACCAAGCTTTTGGCCAAATACATGACTAATCTGAAGATTATGAAATTTATGCAAAACCGCAGAGACGTGATTCGTTTTTTCGGCATCTGCTGTGGGATGTACGGAGGAGTAGAGTAAACTCTGAGCGGAAATGAGTGAATTCTTCTGGTGTTTTTTATTTTCCCAACTATTTGTGCCATACCTCGTGGAATGGTTCCTTCCTTCTGTGTGCTCTGAGTCGTATAATTGCAGCAAACGCACTGTGGCCTGAAGCCATAAAAAGTAAACATAACACACAGAGCACCCGAGGAGCTGAATAGAAGTGAGAAAACTTATTTGCTATTTTCATGGAATTTTCCATAATTTCTGCTTCGTTTGTTGTTGAAATTTTCCTCCGTTTTATTCATCATTTTTTTTTATTATTTTTTTGTTCTGTTTCTTTGGCTTTTTTGTGGTTTCCCCACCAGCCATGCAAAATGCTAAAAAGATAAACAAGAAACGCTTTGAAAGAGATCGAAATTATTACTGCCAGTGCATCAAAATGATTATGATGGTACTGGGTCGCCTCCGTCTCCGGCTCGTCTCTAGATGTGTGTGGGATATTTCCATAATATTTTTAACTTTGTTTACATTTTGCATTTTTATTGTGGCGTCGTCGTCGTTCTGCAGCTCCCTTGGCTTTGTTCCTTTTTTAATCAATTAGGGGAGAGTCCCGCGAGGTCTGGTCTGAAAAACGATCTGGACCACACACAGAATTCTTATACTTATATCTAGAGCTGGAAATGCGGGTGCTCCGCTAATAGAATTGCTGAAACGCTGATTAAAATAGTTTTCACTTTTTAATTACAATTTATGCGTTTAATTCCGTGCCATTATTCTCCGCTATCCGTCTGCGGCGTTTTGTTCCTAATTATTTGTGAAACGATATCCGACTCTGCCGTTCAAGATCAAAGACCCATCTTGCAGAACGTCAGACAAACATTGTCTCACTCTCCCAGCGACAACATCAAAGGAAACTGTAGCCTCAGTTTTCCCGACTCGAAACATAAACAGTTTCCAGGAGGGGGGCCCAGCTCGTGGCTCTATTTGTTGGCGGCGAAAAATAAAAATTAAAAATCAATTTTTTTTCACATCTCCCCCACAAAACCCAGAGACACACAGCTCATTAGCAGAGATGGGGGGAGGCACACAAAAAAATAAAACAAAAACTTTCGAAAT